TATGCTAAAGCATGATGAATTGTCAGAAGAAGTGGGTCAGACTTGGATAATGAACGTCAAATAGAAGTAGGCACAAGAGAAGAAAAAAATAGAAAGAAAAGGAGAAGGAATTATGATGATGATGAAAGTTATGACAACGAGTTGCTGGATTTTGATACCTCAGATAGTGGGCGAAATTTGCAATCTAGGCTGTTAGCTGGGTGCTCTCCACTGATGGGTTTTCTGCATCATGGACTAGTGTGAGTTTATTCTCTTTTATCATGTAACTTTGAACTTCTTTCATTGAAAAGCAAAGTCTTTATTACTTGAATCGTGAAATTTTTTGTGCTGCAAAACTAGTTTCTTATGAGCAGAGGAAGCAGGTTTTTCATACATGTTGATGTACTGAAAATTTGTCAACCAACCATGTTGATCCTTTATTAGAGTCTAAGACTAAATGTTTATTTTTTTCCCCTAAACCTTTTGCTAGTAACAAACTTCAATCTTTTATCTATCAAATCTGTAAAATGTTTACCGATAATCTTGACATATTACCCTTTTTGTGATTTTCTTTTCATTTGTGATTTTTATTATGGTGTTCATCTGTTTGACTCTACTGCAGATAGTGACATATTTCTTTTAGTCTATAAATTTATCTGATTATTGCATTGTTTGTAGGCGGATTTACCGGAACACCTGTCAAACATTGCTTGGCTACATGGATGAAGTGGCTTGTTAACCAGTGGAGCAATGTGGCTTAATTTCCAGATGGTTACTTTTATCCAGTTTCAACTGACGATAACTTCAAGAACTTTTATGGAACTGGACTTATTTGATGTGTGTAAACAGATCTCAGACGCAGCTTCGTCTCAAACTCTCAATAAAATTTTGACAGCCGAGAAGGCTACACATGCAACTTAAATTTGATCTGATACGCAGGTTGATACACAACATGGCATCAACCTCGCGTCTTCTTAGTTTCCAAATTGGTTACGTCAATCCGCTGAGAACTGTCTTAAGGTGTTTTATCTTTAAATTTATCGAATTCCATGTTTACTGCAGGGATTTAAAACTGATGTCTTTTTTTTTTTTTGGTGGGTGTAGGACAACAGAATTGTGGAATAGATTATGAGAGCATCTGGCAAGCCGGTTCCAATATGCTCAGCTTTGATGCGTTGCTATGTAATTTGATATTTACATTTTTTTCAGTTGTGGAATATAGTCATATACATTATCCTTAAACTTTTGTTATTCAGATGAGAGTGAAAACTAAATTGGCTATGTTGTTTTACGAGTTTAAGAGAAATCATATTTCCCATGACAAAAATGCTATATCCACCGAAAGTTGCACCGAAACACGTGGAGGCCGTCACGTTGGACCCATTAAATACTGACATAAATAGACGGTCGTCCAACGTTTTCGGACGGTCGTCCAACGTTTTCGGACGGCCATCCATACATCCCTGACGGTCGTTCATAGTAGAATGGACGACCGTCCGTAAATTTGGACGGTCGTCCATCATATAGGAACGCCCGTCACCTGTCCCTATATTTGTGAATTTTTTTATAAAAATTGTTTTAAAATATAACGAGACGACAGTCCAGTTGTTGTGGATGGCCGTCCATATTTTACGGACGGCCGTCCATACTAGATGGACTGTCGTCCCCAGTTTGTGAAAAATTTTAATTATTAAATTTTTTTTTTAAATATAATATAAATATGGACGGCAGTCCATGTACTTTGGACAACCGTCTCTAGTAGATGGATTGGCCGTCCAAACTACATGGATGCCAATCCATCTACTAGGGATGGTCGTCCAAAGTACATGGACCGTCGTCCATATTTACATTATATTTAAAAAAAAAAATTTAATAATTAAGAATTTTCACAAACTGGGGACGGCAGTCCATCTAGTATGGACGGCCGTCCGTCGTCCATATAGAATGGACGGTCGTCCAACGTAAATGGATGGCCGTCCAAAATACATGGACTGGCGTCCATATTTGTTGAAATTTTTTTTTTTGTTAATTAATATTAATGAATGGCTTGTCTAATACGCTTCATTTCTAAGCGCCAAAATCTTTTTCTTCTCTTCTCCTTCGTCTCCGTCATTTGCTTTTCTTCTGTTCTTCATCTTCGCCATTTGGTTTTCTTAGCTTCTCCTTTGTTACGTGTTGTGATTCCTTGCTTCGACGCTGTTTGCTTCCTCAACAGCCAAGCACCAGCAGCAATATCTCGTTTTATAGAGATAACCTTGAAACAAAAATAAATATCAAACCTGTTAAAGCTAGGATTTTTTGTTAAGGTAAAGAATTTTTTATTTATTTTATATATTCATTTAGTTTCCTATTCTATTTTGGATTAAATATATGTTTGATAGATAATATTTGTTGGTGACAATTGTGAACTAGATTCGTGAACGCAAAAACTGGTATTAGTTGTGCATGAAATAACCGAATATGGAAGAGTCCAGTTTGCCTCGTTTCAATGATGTTGAGGTAAATTGTGTTCGAAACTTTTTTAAATATGGTATATTGTATTGTTTATNAGTATGGAGGAAAATGATGGTACAAAATTCACCCGGCTATACAAATTCATCTAACACAACAACAACCATATGATAATTACAAGCAATTCTTGAAGGCCTATGACAACGCGGAAACACATTGTTGCTTTCATCAGTGGTCCACTGGACATACAAGCAAGTATCAAATCAACCCATTAAAACAATTAAATCATCACTTTAACAAAGAACAATCTCTGCACAATGGTTGGCCACACCATAATACTAACAAATTTAACCAAAAAAAATTCTAAACTATTTTCTGTAACATTTTGCAAGGTAATTGGATACCACCACAAACAAAAAACTCCAATTGCTTATAAATATATTAAATTTTATGCACATCCCCTGAGGTTTGATCTAACTACAAGAAACCCCTAAATTTTACTTTCTCATAAAAATAAAAAAACGGCAAACTAACCTTTTGCAGCGGAAGCTACTGAAGCAAATGGTTCAGTGATATTCAGAGACAAAGCGAATGCAAGATACGAAACAAAGAGAGAATGGCGACTGTAATGTACGCGCTACACCAAACGCCGACGGCGAATAAGAGATTCAAGATATCAGAGGAAGTCATTGATTCAACATTACAAAGCTGTTAATAATCTCAATATCAAAACGAAAATAAATAAATAATATTCTGGAAAAAATGAAAGAGAGTTGAAGCGTGAAGGTGAAGACTGAAGAGGAGGAAGAAGAAGAAGACCACCACAGTTGAAAAGCGATCAAGAGTAGTTGTTGTTTTTCTGTTTTTAAAATAATAAAGGAGAGTTGGATCGTGGGCCAACACTAGGCCCGATAGGCCCGGTCGATATGGCACGTGGACAGTGAGGTTAGGTGGAACGCGGCGCCATTAGTGGTTGTAGGGAATAATTAGGGGTTTTTCTCATTTAAACCCCACGAACCTAGGGAGATATATAATATGGAAAATGATAGAGTTATCGAAAATATACACCGAATGACGTGATATAATCTTGACCATTGATTAATATTAACTTATAATGAATTAAATGTCAGGATTGCGTCACGTCATTCGGTACGCATCCTTCGGTAACTATAGCATTACTTATATAATACTTTTTTAAAACTATGGAAACCTTTGAAACTTCCTCATCTCTCAAGGGGTGGATGATAAAAACCCGAGTAATTAGTGATTAGTGAAGAAGAAATATTATCCACCTAACTATTAACTAATTGTTAATTTTATCTTAACAATAATTGCTTGTTAGGTTAATCTCACTTAACGAAATTATACTATATATGAACTTCTATAACTAAATTCAATCCTTTAAAAAGTTTAAAAACACTAAATTAGACTATGAATAAGATTATATATACAAACTAATCATTCCTAGTGTTTCAATAATAATATAATTAATATACCAGTTTGAATGAATGATATATTATAATAATATACTACATCGGTTTATATGAATGAGTTTATATAAGAAGTTTGTATATGAGCAAAACAAGCGGGTGGGCCAGGCACAGGTCAGGCCTAGTGGGTACGGGCCCAACAAGTATGAACCCAAAACGGATCGGTTCTAAATGGATCCAAAATATTAGATCCGAACCCTGTCGTATGTAAGTATGGGTTGACTCGCGAATACCCATTTACTGTACATTTCAAATTTCTATTAAAACCACCAACTTCCACCATCGTAGTCGTCCCTTTGAACCACCAATCCACAATCCGTAACCAAGTTAAAAGGTTGAGTGAACACACGGGGTAGGGTAACTACCAAGTTTAGGGTTCAATGAAAGGCTTTGGAATTGATCTATTTCTTGTGCATATCAATTGAAATATTTTGGAAAATGAACTAAGGAATAAATGCTTTTACAACAAAAGGAAGAAACCAATATTTTTTTTCTCTTTAGGATACTTTACTCAATTGTAGTTTCTTCTTAAAGTTTAGTTGGGTTAAAGCAAGGGAAAAGTGTATGAAATAACCATTACATAAAATAAAACCCTTTTTTTTTTTTTTTTTGGGTAAGTGAATAAAACCTTTTTTGCTTGCGAGAAGAAATGGTCTTTTTAAAAAAAAAAATTCATATGGAGATCCCCACTCTATCAAATTTATTAACAAATCAAAATAATAGATTAAAATCTCTTACGATCAAAACTTTTGGGATAAATAATTTATTTTAATTTTAAAATTTTTGAATTGATACATTATATAATGTTAATCTAATTTTAATCGGTAGAATTACGGTCATGTAAGAGAGTACCACTACACATACAGACTCTAAATTATATATAAAGTAATGCGACAATTACCTTCTATTGTGTCGTTTAATAGCGGATAATGAAAACATATATAAGGCCTGAGTAGCACTATCTGCAAAACTAAGAGTTAGTGGGCCAGGGCTCAAAGGCCTGAGCTTTAGTTATTTTACAATATAAAACCATGGCCCATAAGCAGCCCAAACTAAGAACGGTAGCAATTCCAGGCTCTTCAGGTCCTCTTTTCTTTTAGCGAGCTGACGACTTCTCCTCCCGCAAACCATCGACTTCGAGCTTCAAAAGAAGGTGGGTAGTCTCTTTTTTCATCTCCCAATTGAATGAATGATAGTTTTAGTTTCATTTAGTGCATTTGCTTATGGGTTAGTAGTTGGTTGTTCAGGTTTCTAGGTGTCAAACTTGCATACTTTTTCTACTTTGATGTATGATGTTTTTGTTCCAGTTTCAGCAGTTTTTGTGATTATTTAAAAAGAGAATTTCAGTTTATTCAGTTCATCTCATTATGTGCCTGCCCAATTTTTTATGTAGTACTCTTTTTTGAAATTTACATATTTTTTAGTTGTGATTGTAATCTTAATTTTAGAATTTATAAGTTATTCAAATGGTGTGATGCAGGACTTGTTTTTTATTCTAATTGTTATGTGTGAGAACAGTTTGAGGATAAAAGAATGGTTCAGTTGTTTTTGTCGAAGCCTAATCGGGAAGATGATGGAGATATTGACTCTGCCAAACTGATAATATCTCTTTTGAATGAATTGGAATCTGTTATCTGGTCTCTGATAACTTCTGGAGGGCGGTCGGAGGCTCGACTATGGCTTTGCAACACTATATCAGGTATAAGTTCAATCAGTGCTGACCAGCAACGTGAGCTATTTGTGAAATTGCTGAGGTCAAAGCGACTGAGTCGAGGTTTAGCCTCTCAACTTTTGCAAATGATATTTGAGAAGAAGCCTTACAAAGCTGGCCGCGTCTTGGCCAAGAAAGGTTACGTGCTTGAGAAGTTCTTTGAAGGTATGGTGGTTTATTTACTTCAATGGCGTTTTATTGGATATTAATTCCTATTTGATGAGAGATTTTAACGATTTCTAATTGTGCCACTGTTTGAACAAAGCAGGAAATCCCACGCGCATACTGCAATGGTTTTCTAATTTTTCTGATGGTGGTGGAGGATTGGGACACCAAAAAGGTGCAAAAGCACTATCCCAATTTGCTTTTGTTAATCGAGATATTTGTTGGGAGGAGCTTGAGTGGAAGGGAAAACATGGGCAATCACCTGCAATGGTTGCTACGAAGCCCCATTACTTTCTAGATTTGGATGTCCAAAGGACAGTAGAAAATTTCCTTGAAAATGTGCCTGAATTTTGGTCATCCAATGAGTTTGCGGAGTCGGTAAAAGATGGTGAGATCTTGTACATTGATACAAAATTCTTTATAGAATTGTTTATTAATTTGATGTATAAAGAAGATGCAAGAGATGTATGGGAAGTTATAACTGAGTTTCTTGTAGAGGAATCTTTCTCATCCTTATGTCACCGCCTTCTTATTATCCTTGAAGAGCAGGAATTCTGCATTTTCCTGGAGTTGCTGTGTAAATATATTAACACAAGAATGGAAGCTAAAGATTTTGGTACCACATCTTACTGGCTTGAGATTATACTTTCTAGGTGTAGTGATTGTAAATCTATTGATCGGCTACTTTTGTTAAATTCTGTTATCAATCAAAGACGCCAACTTCTTGGGTTCTTACATGATGGTGAATACCAGGAAGAACAAGCAAAAATTAAAGATATCGTGCTACAGATTAGCACAGCTTCTCTCAAAGTCAACAGTTTGTCTTCGATTTTGAAGGAGTGCTTAAAGTTAAGTACCGCGGAAGCAATTAAAATAATGGGACTTCATTCTTGGGTCATTTATTCTAGGCTATCCGAGGAAGACTGGACTCTGGAGTCTTGGGAATCGTTATTTGTGAGCAATGGAATACAGTCTCGCAAATCTGATAAATATGTATTGCTAAAGCATGATGAATTGTCAGAAGAAAGTGGGTCAGACTTGGATAATAGAACGTCAAATAGAAGTAGGCACAAGAAGAAGAAAAAAAATAGAAAGAAAAGGAGAAGGAATTATGATGATGATGAAAGTTATGACAACGAGTTGCTGGATTTTGATACCTCAGATAGTGGGCGAAATTTGCAATCTAGGGCTATTAGCTGGGTGCTCTCCACTGATGGGTTTTCTGCATCATGGACTAGTGTGAGTTTATTACTCTTTATCATGTAACTTTTGAAGCTTCTTTCATTGAAAAGCAAAGTTCTTTAGTACTTGAATCGTGAAATTTTTTGTGCTGCAAAACTAGTTCTTATGAGCAGAGGAAGCATGTTTTTCATACATGTTGATGTACTGAAAATCTTGTCAACCAACCATGTTGATCCTTTATTAGAGTCTAAGACTAGAATGTTTATTTTTTTCCCCTAAACCTTTTGCTAGTAACAAACTTCAATCTTTTATCTATCAAATCTGTAAAATGTTTACCAGTAATCTTGACATATTACCCTTTTTTTTGTGATTTTCTTTTCATTTGTGATTTTTATTATGGATGTTCATCTGTTTGACTCTACTGCAGATAGTGACATAAGTTCTTTTAGTCTATAAAATTTTATCTGATTATTGCATTGTTTTGTAGGCGGATTTACCGGAACACCTGTCAAAACATTGCTTGGCTACATGGATGAAGTGGCTTGTTAACCAGTGGAGCAATGTGGCTTAATTTCCAGATGGTTACTTTTATCCAGTTTCAACTGACTGATAAACTTCAAGAACTTTTATGGAACTGGACTTATTTGATGGTGTGTAAACAGATCATCAGACTGCAGCTTCGTCTCAAACTCTCAATAAAATTTTGACAGCCGAGAAGGCTACACATGCAACTTAAATTTGATCTGATACGCAGGTTGATACAACAACATGGCATCAACCTCNTTAAATAACAAAAAAATTCTTGAGAATTTAAAAAACTTCACTCACTAGTGATCAATAGTTAATACATTAATTTGTCATTATGTTTTAGCTATTAAAATAAATAACAAAACAATAATTCACTAAATATATATTCACTCTTTCAATAGCTTATTAATGATTTATTAATGGTAGATATTTGTTATATCAAAAACTGAGTTTTTAGTTAAAACCAAGGTTCTGAAACCCAACTCGAGCTGTCACTTGGCCAAGGGACCAGGTTTCGATTTGCCTGGTCTGACCGGTTAAACAGGTGGTTTCCGGTGATCCAGAAAGTTTGAAATGTTACAAGCACACCCCTGAAGAATATGCAGCAGTCCCTACATGTTTGAAATCTAGCAAATACAGCCCTACGATCAGACCCTAAATTGATTTTTCCGATCAAATTTTGATGGCCAAAATTCAATTCGACACTGCCACCAGAAGCATCGTCCTCCACTTTACAAAACCCCTTTAACTCCTAAATTTGGTAGCCCCTGTTGTCGGCTGTGACTTGCAAACATTGTCATATTTAGGTTGATTTTTTTGGCAAAATTTCAGGTGATTTTGATGTTCAAAATTCAATCTGACACCACCACCTGAATCACTGGCCTCCACTCTACTCGAGCACTTGGTAGCCCCCATTTGCCAGCCATGACTCACGTATTGGGTTGATTTTTCTAGCCAAATTTTGATTGATTCTAGCGTCCAAAATTCAATTCGACACCATCCCTTGAATCACCGACCTCCACTCTACAAAAACCCTCTAACCCTAACACTTGATAGCCTCAGATTAGAGGTTTTGTGAATAGTTTAACATGGTAACCCGGACCAAATAGGGCGCCGGTTTGGTCCAGTTTTCAAAACAATGGCTAAAACAATAAACCTTAGGGGTCAACGTCTTTTTAAGTAATAACATATTTTGTTCCCTTTGTCTCTTTCAATCTTGCTTTTTTGAGGAATTGAGTTAGCTTTACCCTCATGAAAAGGGAACAATATAATCTCAAAATTACAACATACTCTATATCAAAAATGCTATATCCACCGAAGAATTGCACCAAAACACGTGGAGGCCGCCACGTTGGATGATTGAATACTAACATAAATGAACGGCCGTCCAACATTTTAGGACGGCCGTCCATACATCTCAGACGATCATTCATAGTGGAATGGACGACCGTCCAAAAAAAGAAGTTTAGTTTAAAAAAAAAAAACGATGGACGCCCGTCCACATTTTAGGGACAAGCATCCAGTTAAAATGGATGAGCGTCCATATTATATGGATGCCCGTCCATAAAGATGGACGCCAATCCATCATCTGTGGATGGTCGTCCATCCTATAGGGACGACAGCCCATGTAGTTTGGACGACCGTCCATAAAAAAAAAATTTAGTTTAAAAAAAAAAACGATGGACGCCCATCCAAATTTGTGGGATGGGCGTCCAGTTAAAATGGATGCCAATCCATTATCATTGGACAGTCGTCCATCTATAGGGACGTCAGTCCATGTAGTATGGACGGCCGTCCATACTACATGGACTACCATCCAAACTAGATGGACTGGCATCCATATTTGTTGAATTTTTTTTTTTTGTTAATTAATATTAATGAATGGCTTGTCTAATAAGCTTCATTTTTAAGCGCCAGAATTTTTTTCTTCTCTTCTCCTTCGTCTCTGTCATTTGTTTTTCTTATGTTCTTCGTCTACGCCATTTATTTTTCTTCGCTTCTCCTTTGTTGTGTGTTGTCATTCCTTGCTTCGACGCTGGTTGCTTCCTCAACAGCTAAGCACCAACAGCAATACCTTGTTTTACAGAGATAACCAAGAAACAAAAATAACAAAATATCAAACCTGTTAAAGCTTGAATTTTTTGTTAAGGTAAAGAATTTTTGACTTATTTTATATATTCATTTAGTTTCCATTCTATTTTGGATTGAATATATGTTTGATGGATAACATTCATATTCATTTTATAAATAGTTGTGAACTAGATTCGTGTACGCGAAAACTGGTATTAGTTGTGCATGAAATAACTGAATATGGAAAAATCCAGTTTGCCTCGTTTCAATGATATTGAGGTAAATTGTGTTTGAAACTTTTTTAAATATGGTATATTGTATTGTTTATTATGATGTGTTCACACTATAATTTTCTTTATTATAAAACCATTGAATCAAGAAAATGAATGTGATGAATTAGAAGATACAGGATGTGTAGAGGAAGAAGTGGAGCCTCATATTGGAATGGTGTTTGATTCAGTTGATAGTTTGGTGAAGTATTACAGAAGGTATGGGAATAAAATGGGTTTTGAAGCAATGATACGTACGTCAAAGAAAGGAGATAATGGGGAGATGAGATACGTGACAGTGGCGTGTTCTTGTTCTGGGAAGGAGAGAAGTAAATGCATAAATACCTTGAAAAAACAACCTGTTGCAAAAACAGATTGTAAGAGTCGGATTAGTGCAACTTTGAATGGTGAATACAAATGGGAAATTAAATTAATTGTGCTTGAACATAACTATGATCTTACAAGTCCGACAAAAAGAAGATATTTCAAGGTAAACCGAACGATACAGACTTTTGTGAAAAGGAGGCTTGAAGTTAATGATCAGGCTGGGATTAGACCGTGTAAAAATTTTCAGTCATGTTCAGTTGAGGTAGGAGGTGTAGAGAATTTGACATTTCTACAAAAAGATTGTAGAAATTACATTGAAAAAGTTAGAAGGCTACTACTTGGAGTTGGAGATGCTTCGGCAGTGCTAGAGTATTTTATGAAAATGCAAAAGGAGAATTCAAATTTCTGGTACATGATTGATGTAGATGAAGAGAGTTGATTGAAGAATGTGCTATGGGTTGATGCGAGATGTAGGGCCGCATATAAAGATTTCGGTGATGTTGTGACCTTCGACATAACGTATTTGACGAACAAGTATAATATACCATTTGCAGCTTTTGTGGGGGTTGATCATCATGGACATTCGACATTGTTACGTTGTGGGTTAATTTCACATGAGGACACAAAGACATTTGTATGGCTATTTCATTCTTGGGTTGAATGCATGGATGTTGCTCCTAATGGAATTATCACTGATCAAGATAAGGCCATACAAAATGCAATTGAGATTGTTTTCCCCGGTACAAGACATAGGTGGTGTTTGTGGCATATAATGAAGAAGTTGCCTGAGAAGTTAAAAGAGTATAACGAATATGAAACTATCAAGATTACGTTACAAAATATTGTGTATGATTCATTGACACATGAAGAGTTCGAAGAACGGTGGAACAAATTCATTGATATGTATAACCTTCATGAGAATGAATGGTTATCTGGATTGTATAAAGAAAGAGTATGTTGGGTGCTTGCATTTCTTAAAGATACTTTCTGGGTAGGTATGTCTACTACCCAACGTAGTGAAAGTATGCATGCATTTTTCGATGGATATATAAATTCCAAAACAATGTTAAAACAATTTGTAGAACAATATGATAATGCATTGCGAGATAAAGTGGAAAAGGAAAGGGAGGCTGATTTTAGATCTTTCAAGTCTTGGATACCGTGCATAACTAATTACTCCATTGAGAAACAGTTTCAAAATGCATACACAACTACAAAATTTAAGGAGTTTCAAGAAGAGATTGCGAGGAAGATTTATTGTGAATTATCTTTTCTGAAAAAGTCCGATTCGTATGTGGAGTATCATGTTTTAGAAGATGTTTGGTTTGGAGATAGTAATCGGCGTGTTCCCTTTCTGGTATACTTTGAAGAAATTTCATGTGATATTTACTGCAATTGTCATTTGTTTGAGTTCAAAGGAATTTTATGTAGACATGCCATTATTTTGTTGATTCATAAAAGGGTTTCACACATTCCAGATAAGTACATTCTACGGCGTTGGAGGAAAAACATAAAGAGATGTCATACGAATATCAAGGGAAGTTATAATAGGTGGAGCACAAACGTTGAAGGATAGCGTTTTGAGAAGTTGTCTAATCTAATGCTGACAGTAGCTGATATGGCATTAAACAATGATGAAGACTGTAACATGTTGATGGAATTGATGACTGGAGTGAAAAATAAGTTGGAGCAGAAGGAAAGTGAGAGAGGGCTTCGTAGTAAAGAGGGGGACAATCCTCCGAAAGAGGGGAATAGTCTAATTAATAGTCCATGGGTAGCTCACAGCAAAAGTCGTCCTCCATGCAAAAGAAAGCAATCGAAGGTTGACGAAATTATACGTAGGGCTAAAAATAAAAATTTGCGAAAACAAAAACTTGGTATGAGTTATACACCCATTCTGACATGGTATTTTTTTTTTAAACATTATTTACTTATTTGAAGTTTTTAATAAAATTTACTTGATTATTAATGTGTTATGCTACTTGATAGGGAAAGAATCATCAGTAGAGCAAGACAACATTGCTGAAAGTGTACCGGGAACTCAAGTGTTGTCAAATGATATTGTTGCTACTCAGGTATGTGTTATGTATGTTGTATAATTGTAAAAACCTTAAGTTTTCTATAACATGTGCTAAATTGTGGTTATTAAACATTGACAGTTGTCCACTGGTTCGATTCAGAATCTCGTAGCAAATAGTAATTTATGTACTGGACAGGAGGATGTAAATGATGAACATGTTTCGTTGGGAGAGATTTGATATCGTTAACCGATTGGAGCATTGTTGCATTTGTATTCGGTAGAAATTATTCGCATTGTGGTTAATTTCTGATGAATGCAGTTGAGCTATATGCTGAATCAGTTGTTTTGTTTTTATTATTTTTGTTGCTGGTTGGGTAAGAGTATACTATTGGTTGTAGGGTGTTGAATTCATAATAATAACGTAAATGTATGGATGTTTTATGTATATATTATCGTCACATTTCATTTCAGATTATTGTACATTTCAGGGTTTAGGATTTAGGGTGTTGATATATCTTTTGGTATGTTTGTTTT